TAATTGCTGAAATGCTGGTAGAAAACAACTTCAAGGGGGAAACATTCTAACTGCTGAAATGCTTGTGTAAAAGCAACTTCAAGCGGGAAACATTCTAACTGCTGAAATGCTGGGAAGCATGCTAACTGCTGAAATGCTGGCAAAAAGCAATTTCAAGGGGGAAGCGTTCTAATTGCTTAAATGCTGGTAGAAAGCAATTTCAAGGGGGAAGCGTTCTAATTGCTGAAATGCTGGTAGAAAGCAATTTCAAGGGGGAAGCATTCTAACTGATGAAATGCTGGTAAAAAGCCATTTCAAGGGGGGAAGCATTCTAACTTATGACATGCTGATAAAAACCTTTTCAAGGGGGGAACATTCTAACTGATGAAATGCTGGCAATGCAATTTCAAGGGGGAAGCGTTCTAACTGCTGAAATGCTGGGAAGCATTCTAACTGCTGAAATGCTTGTGTAAAACACAAACAATATGAAGGGGAAACCGTCTAACTGCTAAAAGGCTGGTAAAAAGCAATTTCAATGGGAAAGCATTCCAACTGCTGAAATGCTGGTAAAAAGCAATTTCAACGGGGAAGCATTCTAACTGCTGAAAAGCTGGTAAAAAGCCGTTTCAAGGGGGAAGCATTCTAACTGCTGAAATACTGGTAAAAAACAATTTCAAGAAAAGCATTCTAATTGCTGAAATGCTGGTAGAAAAGCCATTTCAAGGGAGAAACATTCTAACCGCTGAAATGCTTGTGTAAAAGCAACTTCAAGGGGGAAGCATTCTAACCGATGAAATGCTGGTAAAAAGCCATTTCAAGGGGGAACATTCTAACTGCTGAAATGCTGGCAAAGCAATTTCAAGGGGGAAGCGTTCTAATTGCTGAAATGCTGGTAGAAAGCAATTTCAAGGGGGAAGCGTTCTAACTGCATTCTAACATCTGATGATATTCATAGTGCGAAGGCATTCTAAGTGAGGGATTTGTGCAAAGGGTTCTCCAAAAACAAAAAAACTTAAAACCCGGGTGGGGAGGCATTCTAACTGAAGGATTTTTTGCCGTGCGCGGGCCGCATTCTAACTGAGGGGGAGGAATATTTGGAATTCGCGGAGGCA